CTCTCTCTCTCTCTCTCTCTCTCTCTCTCTCTCTCTCTCTCTCTCTCTCTCTCTCTCTCTCTCTCTCTCTCTCCCCCCGCAAGTGCTGGCAGATATATGTATGTCTGGAATGCATGCATACATCTGGAAATGCCAATATGCCCACATAAAGCACCCCTGCAATCTGGACCAAATCTCCCTCTCTCTCTCTTACATACATGTATATGTGCATACATACAGTTCCCCTGCACGGTTGTAGTATGAACACCCCCTCCCCCCCCACAGTATCATCCGAGACCCGCCTACAGGGCATAGTCCTTAGCATGTAGCCACCTTCTTCGAGTATTATTCCCTGGACAGTTGCCACACAAATGCATTGGTTTTATATGCAGCATGTTCGTCATAATCTGAGATCCTGCAGGCTGGTTCCTAGCACTGATCCTGGTAGGCACAGAAATGCCCTACCAGCTGCGTTACCAACCGGGTCGCCTGGGTCACCTTGGTTGCCCAGGCGGCCCCGCCGGGCACGCGCCAGGGAAGGTCCCTGTATGAAAAAAAGAAGAAAAAAGAAAATCCAAAAAGCGGCCTGGGTTGCCTTGGTTGCCCAGGCGACCCGGCTGGGCAAGCACCAGGGAAGGTCCCTGTAAAAAAAAAGAAAAAGAAAAATCCAAAAAGCGGCCTGGGTCACCTTGGTTGCCCAGGCGGGCCCGGCCGGGCAACGCCAGGGAAGGTCCCTGTCAAAAAAAAAAAAAAAATCCAGAAAATCCGAAAAAAGTGAAAAGAACATGTTGTGCAAAACTGAACACCTGTTGCCGCAGGGTGACATTGAAATTCTTTGCCAAAAAAAAAAAAAAAAAAATCATTTTTTGGCCGAAGGTCCCTGTCCAAAAAGAAAGAAAAATCCAGAAAAAAAACTATGTTGTGCAAAACTGAACACCTTTTGTCTCAGGGTGTTGCATACTCGTGAAACACAGTCATAAGTATGGTGCAGATTCCCTGCTGCGCTAATTCGCTGCTGCGGGGCCAGAAGCTGGCGCTACTCCGCTGCTGCACTAATTCGCTGCTGCACTAATTCGCTGCTGCACTAATTCGCTGCTGCAATGTTCCTCCTTGCTGCTGCGCTAATTCTCTCCTCACTCCTGCTCATGCTAAGGCTGAAGTGCTGCGCTAATCCTGAAGCCTAACCTCCTGTCAACTAACTTACTGACTGAGGCTGGTACCCAGCTGATATAGTGCTGGGTTGGCCTCAGTACTACTGGTGCCTTCGGGTCTGGACCGTTGATCAGGCCCAACGGTTCAGATCCGATTTCGAAGTCTGAAAAGTGGCACCTAAACTGCGCCGCCGGCCGGTCCTACCGATGGACCGGTACCTGACCTAACCAACTAGCCGTTGGGTCTGGTGGGGTCTAAACGAGGCCTACCGGACCCTAAACTGAACCGACGGTTCCTAGGCCTACCTGGACCTAGCTGGGACCGTCGTGACCCGGTACCTAGGCCTAAACCATGCCTACTACAGAACCGGGCCCTAACTGGGGCCCGTGTGGTATCAGTATGCCACACAGGGTGACATTGATGCAAGGGTTTACCCCTCGGCATAAGGCCCTGCAGCAGGCGCGTGCCCGCCCTAAGGGAAGGTGGGCCCCTGAATCTCAATATGCCCTGGTCTCGTCAATTTTAGCAAATCTTGGTGGGCGCCAGACGGTTGCCACGCGCCAGTTGGTTACATCCGATTCCCTTAAGAGAATCGGAAATATGCGTGAGCCTTCCAGGCTCTTCCGGCGTGGTAGAAACAGGGAGGACCACACATTTGTGCCTGGGCGGTTGGGCGTGCCTAACCAATTTGGTCCCAGGCCACTGCCCGAACGGGCCTGGGGCGCAGACACTTTGGCCGAGACTGAAGCTACTGGAAACTTGGCCTCACAGGGCAAGTGGGAGGCAATGAGCCCGCCACTTTCCATATAGGAAAGTGGCTGGGCTACAGCGAGGGCATTCGGCACTTGTGTGCAGATGCGGCAGCACTGCTGGAGCTAGTGCTC